GTTAAATGCCCATGACTGTAGCGATCCCCAAGTACCACAGGCTTTGACTAGTAGGAGCTATTGGCTTTTGTTGTTTCATTTGTTCTTTCTGGTACTTCTGCTTCACATAAAAAGGTGGTCTACTGAACTCCTTGCCTTTTAGCTGCTTTACAGCCATTCTGCTCGTTTGCAGGAATAAAATGGAATTCTGGTTATCTCTGAAGTGTGACAGCATTTAATGACTCCTGTGTAGAGCTTCTGCTATTTTATATACCACTTTGAAGTATGTCATCTTTGAAGTGGTTTTGTGTAACTTGCACCTGAAGTAGTATTGTTGCAAGCACTGCATTTAGTACAAAAAAAGTAACTAGAGCATGTAGCCTAGCTAATACCCTGAGCACTGTGGTGGTGGGGTGGGATGGTTGCTTTCTTCATTCTGTCACTCTTTAAACAGTAGTAATAAATTCATATTAGCAAAGGGATACCAGCTAGAGCATGACAGTGACGATGTTTGATTCCGTTGGGTTCATGCAAAGCAGTGTTCAAAACTGTGTAGGCTTCAGACTCTTTCAGCTATAATCTCAGTCATTGACCCGACTGTCCAGCTTAATCCCTGCTTTTATTTGAACAGTCCTTCTGCCTTGCAGATGCACGAGGGGAAAGTTACAGGGATGTCTTGGACTATCTGCTGTAGCCATTGCTGTCCAGGCAGCACTTACACTTGCCTGGATCTGCAAGTCAGCACATCCAGCTCTTAGCTGTGCTGAGAAACCAAACCTAGAGACCTATCTTGAGCTACCAAGCTGAGGTGACTTTATTAGTTGGCATTTGGTTCTCCGTGAGGGCCGTGGATTATCCTGGGTAGATGCGTCTCCAGTAAGTGAAGCTGCTTCTTTGGGATTGGTGCCGTTACCCAAATGGGTGCCTGAATTCAGTGCGATCAAATGGACATCTGAATTCATTACAATGAGGTCTTGCTCTCGCAGACTATCATTAATAGGCTGGTTGGTAGTGGCCAGCTTCCAAAAACCTGGGAATGGGCGCCTTATCCTGTTGCCTTTTTTACCTAGGTGAGTCAGTGCCCTTTGCCACCTAATTATGTTCCAAATGCAAGAATCTGTTTTTGAGCAGTGTGTTCCATTTCGGATGTTGTCCATCCACATATTTGGCCTCCTGGATGTAACTCTAGCATGCTACTTTATCCAACTCCGTCCTGGCTAGTTTATATCTGGCTAGTATGGAATTTCATATGGACGTTGATTCTTCAAATAGGGATGTAATAGATCACAACRTGTAGTTGTATTGTATACTTAGCAGTAAGGTTCAAATCACATTTGTCCATGTCCRTTCTTTATTGGCAGATCTTTATTTATCTTTATTGGCAGATAAATAACTCTTCTGCACTTGAATTGGGGCTTCAGAATTCAGGTGGAGGAGGTTTATGGATGGAGGAGGTTATGGATGTTGTTGCTGCTCTAGTATGGTTTGCATTATTGATGCTGCTTGGTATCAACATGTGTAATATATAATTAATACAAATACTTTTTTGTCTCTGATATTCAGATTCTTTCTGTGTCCTCCTTTTCCTTCTATATATCACTATCTTTTTTATCTTACTAAAGAAAGGCAATTTTGGCTTTTTGTCTCCAATTTGCAAAGCATCGCTGCAGCTCGTTGCTGTTGAGGTAATTTCTTGCCCAGAGTAGGGTTTTTTGGAACTCAGATTTTCCTGTTAMAGGAAATGATGAAATGGAAGAATTGAAGGCATGCTCTGTACTGTTGCATGCTGATAGCCACATTAAAGATTTTTCTTGCCAGAACTGTATAATATCATCTGAGATGCTGCTCCTTATAAGCAGATAAAAAGTCAAGTGGCGTTGCCAACTCTTGCAGCCCTTTCCATTTAGGGAAAGGCTCCGACGGAAGTAGCTTCAGTTCCACCCAGTAATGATGATCTGACCCTTTATTCACATCTGTCTTCTGGTCAGTCCAGAGATTGGAATTGCAGGACTAAGTTGTCCCAGGTTTAGAGTAACAGCTTAACCAGATGTTTGCTAGAACTTTGCCTATTCCCCCAAAATCCCTCGGTCTCCAAGGGGAGCTGTTTTCCCTTGCAGGTATTCATTGAATGTTTCTCCTTCCTGGGAATAACTTTCTCTTATTAGAACTTCAAGACATGAGGGAAATTGAGCCAATTTGCTGCTTTAGATCCCTAAAATCCCTTATAATAAACTGGCGATTCTGTTGTGTCTGCAAAAGCAGCAATCTAGTGTTCAAGCGAGCTTGCTCTGGGAGTGCTGGCAGCCGCAGAACGTGGTGATTTGCTAATCTGAGCCATTATAGAGGAGATAGAAATATCAGCTTTTGTCTAACGGAGACCTTGTTTATGTCAACAGGACAAATTGTTTTGAGAGCAGYGCTGAAAATGCTCCTTGGAATGAAAATGTCCTCTCCGGTTGGAGGAATTATGTTCGTTTTAAATTTGTAGCTTGGAATCGTCCACACAGGAAAGATTTAAGTCCATCTTGGATGCAAGAGTCAAGCTGTATTTTGGAAACAGCGCTGGCTTAGTGATGCTGCTGTGTATAAGTGGGTTCAAAAACAAAAATCCCTGTTCTACAGCACACGAAGCCTGAAGTGTCCTTCAGGGCTCTGGTTTGAGGACAGTCTGCTTGCTAACGGTTAAATGGTGATACAGCTTGGATACTGCTCTCCTAATAAACCAAATGTGCCCGGGAATGTTCTCAGGCACTGGGGCCAACTGGCTCCCAACTGCCCGTGTCCACGCTCTTCAACTCCCCTCTCCCAGGGCAGGGGGGCTGCCTCTGAACCGCCCAGTGCCAGTGGTCGCAGTCCTGTGCYGCCTCTCAGCTCTGGGAATTGTGTGGGAGAGCGCTCGTTGGCATGGACCTGTGCTGGGCAGTGTCCTCTGGAGTGCACGTGATCGTTTTCCAGAGCCTGGGAACGCTTCCAGACCGTGTTTAGCTTGTGCATGCAGATGTTAGTCCTTGGTTCTTCCAGAGTCTGTATGGACTAAGGCTAAGACCGAYCCTTTCATTTCAAAAGAGATTTGAGACCATTTAGAAAGACAGGCTTAGGAGAGGATGCCTCTTATTTCTATTTTGCTTCCATAAAGGGGAGACAGGAAACACAGACTCTCATGTAGATGGTTTTGGTGGTGTTCAAACCAGAAGCCACCCTTCACCCACCAGYGAGCTGGGATGAGTAGGAGTGTCGGCCCCTCCTCGAGCTGTTGCTCGTGTGTGAATGAACATATTGTGTCAGTAGTAACTGCGGCCTTTCATSGAAGTGCTGTATATGAAGTCTGCCTTTATGGTTGTGAGGAATTTCATTCTGATTCGGGGTCTCTGGGAATGTTAAGAGTCCTGGTTCGCTGGCCGGGTGCCCTGGGAGGAGGCTGGGGGGAAAGTCTTGAGCCTTTTGGGCAGTGGATCTTTTATGTGAGTAGGAGACTGGGGAGTCCCTTTGATTTCCTCAGGTGTTTCTGCTAGGGGGCAGGAAAAGACCTATGTGGAGCTCACTTGGTTATTGATCATCCAGCTTGATTTCCAGATGGCTCTTGAGTGATTGATCATGAGTTATTGGAACGAGAGTAAAGCCATTGTGCAGACAATCTGTTAAAATCATTGATGCTAATCCTAGTTCTAAGCAGAACTTCCTGGAAGTTTTGCCACCTTCTTTAACAGCTCCCTTTTTCTGTATAAAGCAACCGTAAGTGCAGCACTGTGCTGTCTTCCAAATCTAATGAAATCCATCAATGAATTTCTCTGTGAAAGGAGGAGAAATTAAAAAGGTCACTTCTCTTTGTTAAAGCACTGAATCCAACCTTGTAAGTTTATCAATGGAGCTTAGCAATTTAAATCAACATTTAAATATCAAAGCTGGTGTTTTTGCCTGTGAGTTTGGCAAACTTGGCTTCTTTATGGTAAACTTTTCAGAGACTCTTAACTTCAAAGGTAACCTACTATCCARTGAAACTGCAGGCACTGTGATTAGCTGGTGCACTTGCAAGGGGCTCATCAAACAAATTCCCTTCGTTGCTGAGATGCAAAGCCCAGCTTAGTGTTGGTTAGCTAAAAGAAACTAACGTTTCCAGTGGTCACAGAACAAGTCTGTGACAGAGCCGAGCTTCATCTATGATTTGAAGACGTGCTGTTCATTTGCAAGCCTATGCTTTTCTTGGTTTACTTGTATCTGCTCTTAATATGTGTCTGTCACTGGAGCCTCAGCTTTCTTTGCTGCTCTGATCTTGTCACAGGAGCAGTTCTGTCAAGGAAAGGGTCCTCTCTCCTTTCCTCCTGCTTTCCTGGTCTGCTTGATTTACCACTTGAACATTTGTTAGTCTGCAATTAAACCTTAAAGTACAATGCTATAAAAATCTGTTAAACATTGTGTTTTGTGGAAAATAGTGTTTAGTTCTGTGACCAAGGGGGATACAGAAAATGATGGTAATTACTAGGTATCACATGCTCTTTCTCAGAACCCAAATTTTCCTGTGTTAGGAAAAGCAGCAAGTTAGTATCTGCATGGAGAATGAGGTTGACACTGAGGTATATTCTTTACCTCAAGAGTTAGGCTCTGACAGTTCAGTTTGAGCCACTAGTGATGTTTGTTTGAAAGGTTAGGTCAGTTTATGCTTAAAAACAAAAAAGAGCAACCTGAAGCTCCCTTTAAATTTTGGTAAGAGCTAGGCTGAGGAAGTTTTGCCTGTTTTAAGGAGCCTTACCACTGTATTGACTACTTAAAACCAGAGAACTGGTTCACCTTTTAAAAACATGATCATTTACCTTGAATCACGTGTTCCATTTTAATAGCCTCCTTCATATAGAAAATATAGCATTAGATGCCCATTTAAATGCAAACGTGACAATGCTCTATCTTCTATGTGAAAGGACCTACTTTGTACATTTTTCCATGTTTGACATCATGGTGTTTTGAATAACCACGTTCCATATTCATATCAATTTTTTTGTTTTGTTTTGTTTTCAATTTATGCACAGCACTTGCTCTGAAATTTGGGGACTGAGTACACCAAACACGATAGATCAGTGGGATACAACAGGCCTTTACAGCTTCTCTGAACAAACCAGGTGAATATTCTGCCCTCTCTCGCATCATAGAAGTCTTGTGGGAGGGATTGGCTTTGGAGGGTCTGTAGGGGGATGCTTTAGCTGTAAAATAGACTAAAATGCTTCCTAGGCCTCTCATGGTACAGCATTTAAAAATAATTGCTTGCCAGTATAGAAATCTAAGTGTTCTCAGCTGATGTTTTGACCAATGAAATTCTAATTCTGGAGTACTCCTTTTTTTCACGCCAGTGCCATTGAAAGAATGGGAAGACTTGTTAAATGCGAGCTCTAATGTGATTTGTACTTATATTAACAAAGTTGAGATGCTTAATTCCTCTAGACCTAATCTTACAAAGTGTTTAAACTGCTTTGTATGCCACAAGCTTTCGGTTAAATCTCACTAATTGGATCAGCTACGAGCTACTAAAGAATTGTTTGCAAATTCTTCAGTAGCTAATATGGTGGGCAAATTCTCAACAGGGTCTTTATTTTTTCATGTCACATTACTTAATTTGTGTACTGAGGTTTGTCTCCCATCCCATAACGATCATAAACATCTGCATTTGTGTAAGCATATGCAGTCTGTCTTAAAACTAGCAAAACRTTTTCAGCTGGTAGCAAGGCAGAGGAAGTCAAGAAGATGAACTGTAGAGCCCGTACATTGGTGCATTTTGCATGGCAGTTGCAAGATGGGCATTCGTGCTTTTTGCATTGCACTTGCACTGCCGTGTGGATCACTTGGGCAGCTGGCTGCTTCTGGGCTTAGTCGCAGTCCTGCAGGAATGTTTATGCTTAAAGCCATAAAGCATCCATGCCGCAGCAAATTTGGGGGGTTAGGAACTCAAGGGAGTGTTAAGTGTATGCATATATATTTTAAACAACCATTTTATTATTAAAAAAAAAAAATGTATGTGAAGCAGTCATCTTAAATACTTGGAGGTAAAGTGGCTTTTCAGCKAAACTCACTGGCAATAATTTGTGCAGCTCAAAAAAATAATTTAAAGCACTGTTCGATACTGTCATTTTTCTTGCGTTTTGCAGCCTTTTAGCAAGCCTATAAATGTCTCTAACAGTGCCAATCCACTGAATTCTGAGAATGAACAAGCTCCCCATCCCCTGCGTGTTGTGTAGGTGATTAAGAGGCAGCATGCAGTCTATAAATACTTCTTAACGTCTTTCCCATATAGATCTCTCGATGGCCGTCTGCAGGTATCTCACCGTAAAGGACTACCACATGTCATTTACTGTCGCTTGTGGCGCTGGCCGGATCTTCACAGTCACCATGAACTTAAAGCAATTGAAAACTGTGAATATGCTTTTAATCTTAAAAAGGATGAAGTATGTGTAAACCCTTACCACTACCAGAGAGTGGAAACACCAGGTAGGAAGACTGTTTGGGCYGTTCTCTAGCAGCATCTGTCTGTACTTACTCAGCATAATGTTTTAAATGAAAAATAGGAGGGGATGCTGTGTTCTCTTGCCAGAACTACAAGATGATTGAAAATACAGATTTTGAGGAATACTAACCACTAAAAGCTTTTAATAGTAAAGCTACTGAAAAATCCATACTTTACAAATGTGTTGAATGCTTTTGATAACTGCTTTCAGTACTGCTAGCAGTTTCCAGTTGGCTAAGTATGAACCAATGTGAAAATGAGAATGGAAACAGCTTACCTCAGGCGACGTGGAGTAATTTTACTCAACAGGGACGTCACAGATCAGTTTTGGAAAGCTAACAATTAGAAATCTTCAAGAAAAAGAAATTTTTAGACTTTAGATTTCTTTTTCTTCCCATTTTATTCACATAAGTGAAGTGTGCATGTTTTGAGTCCAACTAACGCTGTAAAACTTTCTTTCCCAGTCTTGCCTCCTGTACTAGTGCCTCGGCACACCGAGATCCTAACGGAACTTCCACCTCTCGATGACTATACCCATTCCATTCCCGAAAACACTAACTTTCCAGCTGGAATTGAACCACAGAGCAATTACATACCAGGTATTTTCTTAAACATACTGTTTACAATTGAAGTTAATGTTGTACCATTGAACACAGGTGGTAACTTCATCCTGCTCAGTGATCAAATGGCTTAGAAGATGCACAAATACATGTTTTCTTATTTTCTTGATTTTTGGATGTATATATTCCTCTTGAAGTATCTGATAATAGTTACTTGCAAAGCACAGTCCTGTGTGAAACCACATGTGCAATTGTGTTAATACAATGAAGTAGCTTAGGGTTCACATCACTAGTGCATTTAAGTAGGCCTTTGCCTTGTGCATTAAGCCTGGTTTACAAAATATATAGGGATTGCCAAATGCTGTACATTGGAGATTGAGTAGTAAACTGCTGCTTGATTTCTTAGCACGTAAGTATATGATTTGGAGAAAATCTTCTATGTCACTGTTCTGGCAGCTTACAGTTTTGGGTTGTTCTCGAGCTACAGGTTGTAACCGATGAAAATCTATTTGTGTGTTTGCTCCTGTTATGTCCATATACCTGTGTCCCTAATTTAATAGGAGCAAACAGTGTAATAAAATGGAACAGTGAAATGACTCCTCCTCCACCTGCTTGCTTCGTCCCATGCCAGGCAAACGTGAGGCCGCTCCTGAGCGCACATATACACGTGTCCATRTTGTTCAGTGGAATCAGCAACTGTTTCCTGCCCTAAGTTCCTGTTTCCTGTCTCTYCAGGAAATTGCCCAGAGTGTGAAATCACTCAAAGTTGAAATTTTCTCACTGACATCTAATGCAATTACCTTGCAATGTCCCCAAACTGGTGAATGTGCTAAAAATTCAGAAAATAAGGTTGCTGCCTTGAGCATCAAAATGTGTAGGGTACAAAGCGTATGTGCATGTTTTAGGCAGAAGGCTGTTTGCATTTCCCTGAATATATCTTGGACTGAAATGGCACCTAAAATYGCAATATATTTGAGATCTGGTCTGTTTAATTGGTGGCACGTTTGTTCCAGCTAAGGAGAACAGATCTTTTGAGAGCAATTTAAAGTCTTGGGAGTTGRTGTCTGTTTTTAAACTTCTTTTTTGCCCCACTTGAGGTTGAGGGCTTTAGATAGTGTGTGTGCAGACAACTTGCTGGAAAACAACCATCTGAAAGTTCGGTGCATTAGGTAAATGAGCTAGTGCAGACAGTAATTTGCAAGCGCTCTCCAGGAGGTTGTGAGTGTTCACATGATCTTCAGATGCTTATGCAGCTCCCCGCAGCTTGAATTTCTGCAGAGGTCTTTCCTCTCCTTGGCGTTAACCCCTTTCTGTTCAGTTCATATTGTGGAGTCCTGCTCTATTTGACCTGGCTAACTAATCTGAAGTGCTTCACAGGTTCTCTTGTGTGTCTCCAGAGCCTGCTACAGAGATCCTTTTTCTTGAGCTGCAGACCCAAGTAACAGCCGTGGTACCACCACACTGCGACACTGTCTCCATATCCAGGCTATAAAGAGCTTGGTGTCACCTCTGCCATAGGTGACACCTGCACCACATTCTGGTGACCATGGAAGCACTGGGGTGTCCTTTTGGGGCCGTGTGTTCCCTTCYGAGCTATCCATGTGCTGAGCAGCATTGTCCACAATTTTGGCAGCATTCCCCCTGCTAATGGTTTCTAATGCTGCGTTTGAGCATTTATTTCCAGCTGTGTTTGTGCTCTACCTCTGACCCAAAAGCAGTATTAATAGTGCTAGGTGGGGGAAATAGCTGCTCAGATAGACTAGGTATGGAAATTATCTGTGCCAAAGAGCCCAGAATAGCAGCTGGAAACAGAGGTGTGGGTGAGATTGGAAATGGTTATTGACCTTTACCATGGCTGTGGGTTTAACCGTGACAAGTTACTCAAGGGTGGGTGGAGTCCACTTTATTGTATAAAAATGTTCAAAACAATATTTTTTTATCATCATACTTCTTACTAGCAAAGTTTTTCCTTCATTTTCATTTTAAATGCCGATTTGAGTTTTCTTTGTCGTGAATCTCTAATATTTAGCATGGTAGTTTTATGGGATGCACCAAAGAGGTGATTTTTCRCTTTTATTTGCTTGATTTGCTCCTGCCGACTTCRTTCTGATCTTCTCTTGCTGTGAATYTCTGACGTACTTCCTAAAATTTGATTTTAATTCTYAAGTGAAAAAACTTTAGCTTCACATTTCTGCTTTTTGATGACATTGTAGTTAAATGTATTTATTCTGTCTCAATAACAATTCTGTGGCTGTAGTAGAGATTAGTTATGATCAAACACTTTCACTAAAGAAATGGAGGTTCTGCCTCTAATTTATAGGAAAAGACACTTGTCCGGTTCAGAGACAATTATTTCCTGAACAGCAGTTGGTTAACTCATTATCTGGATTGCAAAGTAAAATTTTGAATGGAGAAAAAGAACTGTACTCTCTGGTATTTTTAGATGCTTTTCTACAAATAGATGCAGTTTCAAGTATCAAAATGCTTCAGACTTGTTCCAGAGTTTACTTCAGTCTGCAAAGCACCTTCTTTAAAGAAAGTTAGTTGAAAGGAGAGATGTTCCTTTTTATAGAACTTGGAAGTGAAGAACAATAACAGCATGAATAGTTTTTGAAGGGAAACTGGTTAGGTAATATAGCTGCAGTTAATGGGTGAAATCACATGTTGGGTATTAAGGAAAAATAGTTTGGGAGGGGGCTGAATGGAAAGCTAGTTTTCGTTAAATCTAGCAGCTTCTAACCTGTGGGAGGGCAGCTGATCCTACAGTTCTGCTGCGTAAGGCAGCTCATATTTTTCTCTCGAAATCACCAGATGGTTTTCTTGTTTGTAATTCTAGGAAATGTGAAAGCTGTTGATCACAACTGCAAAATTGTTACTCATTGTAGCGAAAGTGTCCTGCCTTGTGTGGAATAAACAAGGATTGTTCATGAGTTGTGTAACTTTGCCCAGTAAGCAGTTGATAGACATAGAAGAGAATATATTTTACGTAGACAATCAGACATTTAACGGGTCTGAAGTCCTACTGGAAGGAAAAAAGGCCTGAAAAGTARAAGGCCAACTTGATGTTCGGGTAACATGTGAGGCTTGTGGTAACCTAAGGAAAACCCCCAGAATGCTAAATCTTACAGATTTCTCCAGCCTTTGAACCAATAGACGAATTTCTTTTTGACAGAAACACCACCTCCAGGATACATCAGTGAAGATGGAGAGACAAGTGACCAGCAGTTGAACCAAAGCATGGATACAGGTAAGATTCCTCTTTTTGCCATCTTCAGGAACAGGGATTACTAGCTGGGATTCATCTATGCAGTTTCAGGAATTTAGCTCAAACGAGGATGGTGGTAGCTCTCTGTGTAACCTGCTCTCGAAATTATTGCTATCATTTTTTTGTGGACAAAATGACTCCTGCGAGGGGCATGTTTTTAAAGATATTGTGCCATATTAAGTCCCTTTTATTTGGTACGTAACAAAAACCTACAAATCTCAAGTCCTTTCTGGCAAGCTTGAAAATAGACTTGGAAAGCTGGCTGTTTTCAACCTACCCTGGCTTTCCCTGCTGAAGACAAGCAGGAAGATGTTAGGTTCATTGGAGGCAAGAAGTCTATAGGCCTGAAAAGGTTACAGAAAAGCTGCTTTCAAAGAACCTGTCCCTGATACTTTATCATTTCTGCCATATTTCAAGCAAGTTCTTTTATGGAAAGCTCTACTAAAAGAATAGTAGTGTCTTTGTGTCTAGATAATCTGTTTGACTTCAGCCTTGGATGAAGAATAGTTAACGTGTTGGATAAGAAGCTCCTGCTGTGTGCTGGCAGACTTGAGAGAGTTTTTGGTTAGCTAATGTTAGCTTCCTTTTTCAGTTAATTGGAATCAACTGCACTCGCTTATGTAAGAACTGCAATATTTTCCCACTGTGTGACAGTAGGTACCGTAAAACCCTGGCTTCAGCAGTAACTATAGGAATGTTTCTGTGCAACCCCTCTTTGCACCTAACTTTTGCCTCCTAGTGCTCAAATTGCATTGGGAAATCCATGTTTTTCTGAGATTATTTCTTCCTCTTTCCTCAAAGGAGGAAATCCAACATGTTATTTTCTAGAGAGGTGAACCCCTTCCTTTGGAAATAGAGAAGTAATATCTCAGATTTTTTTCTGTCTACTTTTTCTTAGCTTTTCTCATTGAGTCTTGGAAGAAGTCATTGATCTCTCACTGGATTGTAAACACTATGCAGAAGTAAAGATCTCTTCACGTAGTGTGCATGAAGTGAGATCTCTGCCAAATGTGATACTAAGAGGTTAACAGAATCTCTGTGAGCAGAGTTTAGGTTCCCAGGTGTCTGGAAAATCAAATGTAGTTTTAATTTAAAATGAGTGTGTGACATGCTGGAAAACTGGTTGTAGGATTTGTGAGGTTTCTTAATTCCAAGTAATTGTAATGTAAAGTAGTACCTAGATAATGGCCATGCCTTCCCATTTGAGATACTGAGATTCATTTGCTCTGAAACCATCTGTTTTGCTCCAACAGGATCTCCAGCAGAGCTGTCTCCTAGTACTCTCTCCCCAGTTAATCACAGCCTGGGTAAGCTGGAAATACTTTCAGTTGTTTCTCTATGTGTGTGATCACTCCTCTTTCTATATTTAATTACATTAAAAATAAAAATGTGCTTTCACAAGAGTAGGGGGAGGCTTTTGGGTTCATTTCTCAGTAAACATAATATGTTTGGGTTAATAACTAGTGCTAGTTACCCCTATAACTATTGAGCTCCTAGCAAAGAGAAAGGCAGGAACTGCATTTAAAACATAAAGGACAACTTAGAGGACAGTAACTAGTCTTTGGGGGCCATCAAGCCTCCCCCAGACTTGCTGTCCTGCTTTGTACAGCTGTTCTGCTGCTCTCCTAACGCACCGTTTCACCCGGGACCACAAGACAATAGCTGCTCCCACATTAGCTACCGACCTGCTTTGATCAGGTGCCACTGCTGAGTGTGTGCAAGTGCCCAGGGAAGAGATCAGATTCCCTGGGATTTGTTTAAGGAAGGGGGAGCTGATAGCACAGGAACATGCTGTTCAGAACATAGAGTGAGTAATTAGGCCAGGTTAATAGGGGAAGTAAAGCAGCAAAAGCTAAAGATGCAGAGGAAAATTGCTGAGGAGTAGAAAGGAGAATAAAAGGAATGTAGAGGTGTCTTGTAAGAGACGGAGGGAAAATGGAAACAGTGTAAAACAAGGGAATATCACTTTCATAATAAATATTTTTTCTCTGTGTGGTTCAGTGTTCAATAATTTCACTTTAATATTGCCMAAATCCTTGCAAGCTACAGAAAAGCCAACAGAAGTCCCTCAATATCCCATTCACCATTTGTCACTATGTTTATCTTAACTATTTTGCTGACCAAAAACACAGATACTGGAGTACTCGAACTGCTGTCAGACCAGATCCCCCCTTCTCCTCCTTCCGTAATCCTCTCCTATTTTCCTGTATTCCCTAACCTCCCATCCCTTGATTTCCATTCTGTTTACTGAGGTAGATACAAACAATGTCAAGCAAAATATAATAGGAGTGGTCTGAGAAGTCTGCACCCCTCCTTCCTGGAAAAGACTGGTAACAGGGCAGAGAGGTTTCTTTTCAGCTTCAGATTCTCCATTGCTTTTATTAATTGCTGATCTCTTATCTTTTTTTAGACTTGCAACCAGTTACTTACTCAGAGCCTGCGTTCTGGTGTTCAATAGCGTATTATGAATTGAATCAAAGAGTGGGAGAAACCTTCCATGCTTCGCAACCGTCACTGACCGTAGATGGCTTTACAGATCCATCAAATTCGGAACGATTTTGTCTAGGTCTGCTTTCCAATGTGAACAGAAATGCTACAGTGGAAATGACAAGGCGACACATAGGTAAAAATTGTTCATCTCTTAACTCTTTGATTTTGTTTTAGCCATTAAGCCGAGGTGATGGAAGCAGGAGGAGCAGAGCCCTCCTTCAGGCAGCTTGCTCAGGAGAGCATGATTTGCTCTGCTAAAGACACAAATAGGAAGATGCAGAAGCCCCCACTGCCCAACCCAGAGGGAAACGGAGCAGCTTCTGGTACAGCAGCCAGCGTCGATAGGGAGGAGTTGTAGTGACGGCTCAAGAGGAAAGGCAGCAGCTCCTTTCATCTGTCAGCATCTCCAGGGTGGTGGCAGCAGCGGTGTCACAGCTGTCAGCCTGAGAGCAGGCACAGGACAAAGCCCTCACCTGTACAGCTRTTCTTGTTGCTCACGTAGCTCTCATCAGTCTTCTGGAAGATGATGCACTGAGCAGAATCATCCTGTGGGCAGATTGGGGCCTTCAGGGCCTCACTGGACTGCACTGCCCTGGGTAGCACTTAAATTCATATTTGTTTGTGGTTGACTTTTGCTATTTTCTAATTACAGCTTAAAAGGTTGCTCAGCTTATTCTAACCTTTAAAATGCAAATTGGACATGCACAGTACCTCTTGACTTTTCTGAAATGTGGAAACCCCCCCATTGGGGTAACATGCTGTTCTGACACGACCAAGATTTTCTTTGAAACGGTTAATAAAGAATATCAGTTACCACAATGCAGCATCTTTTTAAGTTTTTGTCAAATTGTATTTAAATTTTTGCTGAATTCTGTTTTTCGTCACTTAGCAGTGTTTAYTAGTGTGTTTTTTTCACTGAAACCTCTTTAACAGAAGCTTCTGATTCCTCCCACCCCAAATCCAAATGTTTATGTACTAAAATGTAGATGTGGAGAAACCCAGGATATGCCTGTGCTGACTGATCAAAATGGCCCATGATGAGGAAAAGCAAACATGCAAGGAGGTTTCTGAGAGAAAATCACACTTGGTTTGAAAAACCTTTTTCAAAAGTAAAGAGGGAGATTCTTAGAAACGAGGGCCTTGAAAAGATCTGTTCATCGTAAGTAGCTTGTTTTTAGAGATCAGTCCTATATTATTGCTTCTTTTCTTGCCAAAATATCTAGATTTTTTCCCCCACTCAGAACAAGACCACAATTTGGAAGTGAGAAGTGGTGACTTTGGGGTCTGTTTTGGTRGTAGAGCTGAACAAAGTCCCATTGTTTTTGTCAAGGAAGCAGGGAAAGCAGTTGCACAGTGGGATGCTTAGTAGTGTGGGTGCATGAGGTGAGTCTGTAGAGGGGAATATTTGTCTTTGCTTTTATTTCTCCCTCCCCCATTATCATAGTGGCATGTGCTGCTTGAAACATAAAATACTTAATGACAGCATAAATGTTGATAATTAATCTGATCCTGTTTTTATTCCAATTCTAAGTATTTCTTCAAGTGAAAAAGTTCTTTGGGAATGACAGTTGCTTCCCAGCCTGGACTTGGTTGCAAGCCCTTCCACAGTAGAAGATTCAAGCTCCCTCTTGATGAAATATTTCTACACCTTTCCTTCCAATGGTGTGTGTTTGAGAGAGGAAAAATATGCAAGTTAATTGTGCTCTGCTCTTGCTACAGCTGTCAGCCCAGCAGTGTGGTCATCTAGATAACAGATTTCTGTTGCTGTTGTAAAGAAAAGCCTTAGCCTTCTCTGGAAAAAAGAAAAAACCTTCCTTGTTTGTAAATCTGCTTGGGCCATATCGTAACTGGAGCTGCTTTGGGTTCGTTACAGGAAGGGGAGTACGTCTCTACTACATTGGTGGGGAAGTTTTTGCTGAGTGCCTAAGTGATAGTGCAATTTTCGTTCAGAGCCCCAACTGTAATCAAAGATACGGCTGGCATCCTGCAACTGTGTGCAAAATTCCACCAGGTTAGTAGCCTGAAAAGGTCTTTTATCCCTCCAAAATCCAATGCATGTATTCATTTGCTTTTCTTTGGACGCATTCATTTGCTTTTCTTCACAGTTTTGGGCTTCTGGGTAGCTAGCGTGGGTACACATTAATTGTACCTCATTATTTTTTATTCTTTTTTTTTTGTAGGATGCAATCTAAAAATCTTTAATAACCAGGAATTTGCTGCTCTTCTGGCTCAATCTGTGAATCAGGGTTTTGAAGCAGTCTATCAGCTCACTAGAATGTGTACCATAAGAATGAGCTTTGTTAAAGGATGGGGAGCTGAATACAGGTAAGAAAATAAAAATGCTGTTTAAATTTAATCATTCTCTTGTTTTGGCAGTGCTCTGTTTCTGTCTGGCTCCAAAGCCATAGACTTCCTGCCATTACTGTAGCTACTCTTTCTGCAGGTTAAACACATTTTTTTTCTTCTCCCCTCAACTGTGGAGCTTCTACGTCAGTAAGGCAAGTAACCTGCTTTGGGCATTGCATGGAAGTCAACTGTTGAGCAAGAAATGTCATCAAATTCACCCATCAGTCCTGCTTGCTTATTGTGGTCAGTGGAAAACACTGACTGCATCCAGAAATTTCGACGTTTGTGCTCTAATTACTTGCTCTAAACCTCATTTTAGTCTGTGTAGGGTATAGGGAACTGCTTAGGATGTGGTGTTGGATTCAGTAGATGGAACCCAAGGGAGAAAGTTGGAGCGACTCTTAGGCCATTGTGCAGAATAAAACAGCTGGAGAAGATGTGTTTAAAGGGATGGCAAATACTTTGGAACTCGTAGCGGAAAAACTTTGCAGGAGTGAGATGACTATGTGCGTGTATGTGGTAAAACTGCTAAAAATGGTTTTTTGAGTGGGGGAAAAATAGGCCTTTTTCTGCCTTTGAATGGATTCCAATTGCATTCTCTATTAGCAAAACTAAGAACTAACTTAGGATGGTGCCTGTTTTTAATGTGACATGGGAATTGGGAAAGAAAAACATCTGACTTCTAAGTGAGCAGTTTTAAAGAAGATTTTGTTATTTTGGAGAGTTTAGAGTTGTGGTTTAAAAAAAGAATCCCCTAAACAGATCTAAAAAATGTTCCCTGAAAGAGCAGAAATATCATCACATCATATCCTATTGCAATACATCATGGCTTTTTTTTTCCTTTTTAAATCTAAATTATTCCTGATTTTGAAGTTGAATGATACAGTGTTGGTAGCACAGCACATCCTGGTCTTTTGATTCTTTTATCTGCCCTGTAGAATACCCACGTAGATGTGAGCACCGGCATGTGGGGGAGGACTCTCAGCTAAGCGAAGCCAGTTTTGTAAAAACCTAATTAGATGAAATGAGATATTTGAGTAATGGAATAAATTGGTACCTCTTTGTTCGCGAGAGATACAGAAGGGGAAAAAAAAAACCTGGCTCGAGTTTAAAGAACTGTTGGATTTGGCTCAAAAGGAGTAGGTACACACTTAGGCATAATTAAATACAACATTCAAATCGGAACAGAAGAAAGGCTTAATCCGTCAGATGATAGGGAGACAACTTGGAAGTGAATGAAGTGCCAGTGCTGGGTTAGAGCAGCGGGGAGGCTTTTGCTAAAGGTTGTTTCTAAAGGGGAAAAATGTTGGTTGTTAGTAATCTGTAAACCCTTCAGAGATCATAGGGTTGAAAAGGTTCCAGTGGAAACCTTGCCAGAAGAGAGCAGAATTTGGTTACTGGCGTGAAACTGTAAAGTTGCATCTGTTCAATACAGAGCCGATAAATAATCAATGGAGGAACCTTTGGGCTATGCTGCAGTGGTGATTAGAGCAAGAAGGGGTTGCAGCTGTCCACACAACTGGGAATTTAAATGGTTATAATTTGAATGGTTGAAGTAGATGGTGAAGTGGAGTAAAATCAATCCAGCCAGACCAGTAGTTAATATTTGCTTGATATGTTATTGGCTTGCGCTGAGGATTAGGTTAGAAGTTCGGACAGAATCATCTTTGGAAGAAACTGAAGTAGAAGTGACTATAGCAAAGAAATGGTGTGATGTGCAAACTGGAAACTCATGGGTAAAAGTAGAAAAAAAAGAGTAGAATTTGAGCAGAGCATTAAAGGGCTGCCACTATTCTCTCTCTTGCCAGCTCCGTGAAGAGTTCGGGCTGTTGAACCAAACCAGTTACAAAGCGGGGAGGAAGTATGGTATGGAACACATTGCAGGGGAGTTGACAGCGCTGGAATAACGCGCTTCCTTCTTTGGGAGAGGATTCGGGACTAAATGGAATTGTATTTCCTGTGGTTTAGATTGTTCTTTTATTGGATCGCTTTGTTTTGGCACCGGCGTTTGGGACTGAGATAACAGTGTTTTTGGGAACGCTGAGGGAGCGCAGACCCCAGCCGCTCTCTTGTCCTAGAAAATGTGAAAACCACAGACAGCTCTTGAAATCCGTCCGCTCGCCGGCTTAGCTTTCCTGCCTTTACAGTTCCTCTCGCTTATATAAACAGATTTATTTAGAGCAGAGGGGTGCAGTGCTGAGGCCAGAGTGAAGGGGGGTTGTCTTTGTGCCCCATTAATCTGCCGCTGAATCTTTGACTCCTTTGACTGTGGAATAGCTGGAATTGCTAGGAGCAGGCTTAGCAGCAGTAGTCCTGTCGTTCTAGTTCAAGAAAACTCCAGTGCCTGCAGTGGGTAGTGTGAAATAACAGGATTTCTCAGGTAAAGGATGTCCAATCCCGAGTTCTTTAATTAGGAAATGGGAGGGAAGTGTTTTGAACGGCAGATCCCTAAAACAAAAACGCACAGCAGGATGAGTGCAGGCTGGCAACCCTTCAGCATTACAGAGGCTTTGTATGTTTCTATGTTTAATTAAAGGCTTCTATCCTGGAAAAATACAGATATGTTTATATAGAAGACAAAGGAAACATAAAAATTTTACTGAAATGGTTTGCGTGAGGATGCTATAGTACAAAACAAATGTACAAGTATAAATACAGGAAATCGGAGACAAAGTTTGCTGTTCCTTTGAGATAACATCTCTTAACACTGTGTAACCACGTACTGTGTCACGWTGCAGTGTTTTTGACGGCGTCTCGTGCAGTTCCCTTTTACGTTTCTCTTGATGATGGCTCTAAAAAAGCAGTCCTTATGATTGTGATAGTGCTGTGCCATTCAGCCCCTCTGAATAGAACCCCGCAAAGGGTTTCTATTTCTTCTTTTCCAGGGCTTGTCTTCTACATCCAAGCCCAGTTATGCACACAAGCTCTTTGAAGATTATAGCAGCTGCGTCAGGCTGACTGGTGTGAACACCAGCTCAGCTTCAGTTGTGAATCTCCTTTTGAAAGCAGGACTTCTGGTACGGCACTTGAAGCAGCTGCTGTAGGTTTAATCTGCGGAGAAAAACTCCAGTCTGAACATTAAAGATATAGGACTGTAACTGTTGACAAGGACTAGCTGAGAAACCTTAGCGAGTTATGTAATAGCTTCAGATTCTTATCTTTGTGTGGTACCTACAGATGGAAACCTGGAGGTGAGGGAGGCCTGTATGGCAACSAAGGCTGCTTTCTGACTCTTCTCTTCCCCTTCCTTCTGCAGGCGGCAGACGGTAACAAGCACTCCTTGCTGGATTGAGCTTCATCTGAACGGACCTCTACAGTGGTTGGACAAAGTATTGACTCAGATGGGCTCCCCTTCAGTACGCTGCTCCAGCATGTCCTAAAGCTCCTTCCTCCGTTACCAGTGGGCTAAATACCAAGTCCAGTCAACAGACTTAATATAACAGCTCGTCTGTCGTAGTATTTGTGTGTGGTCCCCATGAACTGTTTACTATCCAAAAAGGTTTTTTTTTTAAAAAAAAAAAGGAAAGAAAAAAAAAAAGAAAAAAGAAAACAGCACTTGAGGTCTCATCAATTAAAGCACCTTGTGGATTCTGTTTCCTATACTCTGATACTAGATGAAAATTTAGTGTATAGAAATGCCTTCTTCAGAAAGAAGAAGGGCCAGTTCTAAAGACTCTTAATGGTGTTTTTATTGGGTATATAATTGAGTGTCCTAATGGTTTATCAATAACATGAATAGTTAAGTATATGTACAGGTAATGTATCATGATCTCAAACATCACAGTATTGTGCTGTTCTACACTTTAGTTCCCATAAATAGATGTTTGTTTTTTTGATTGGGGCAAATCTCTCAAAATTCCGAGACTCTACTCCTTTATTCTTTTGTATTTTTTTATATAAGCAGGTTTTCGAGTTGTCCTAAGCATAAAAAGCAGACTTTCCTTGTAGAAAAGCTTAACTTTTTGCTGCCTTCTTAAAGAAAAAAAAGAAAAATCCCTCCATTGGAAGGGAAAGAAATGTCTGAGATTCCTCTCTGAAATCTTAAGACACATTGTATGCTTAATGGGGCCTAAAATGAATTCATATTTTAAATTCCAAGTATCCATCACACTAGGAGTCTACTTTTCCCTACCCATCTGAGTTAAGGCACCTTTTGCCAGCAGTAGATGCGCTGGCATTGCTGGCACTGATGAATTTGGGACGTTTTTGTGTCTTGAATCCTTGCAATCAGTGGCTTTTTTTTTCTCATGGAATGAGAATTTTTTGTAGCATTGGATACTGGATTAAATAGACAAGGTTATTGGCTAAGCCCTTACATCTGTATGTTGCAACGAAGCAGATGTCACTAAGAGTCTCACTTTTCATTTGTGAAGCCAAGTACCTTGAAAAATCCTCTCCCAGGGTAAACTAGACTCTTTCGTATAGGTTGAAAATAGATGCAGCTTCTTAACATATTTCAGTAACAGAACTTTAAATTTCTGATCTGAGTGGCTTTGTATAGGTTACTTACATACCAGATCATACGCATTCATAATGTCATAATGGGCCTTGTTATTAAAAGTAGTTGCTTCTGCAAAACCTCTAGGATAGTGGTTGCTGAGGTATGACCAGCGAAGGAGGACTTGTAGGTTCTTCATGACAGTGCATGTTATTGTGAACCTTTGGACACTACAGCTGCACCATATTAAAAATACTCTGAAGTATATTCTACAGATAAGTCTGGGTTGGGGAAGGGTTGGGAAACTGTATAGAAGGGTTATTCTGACTTGAAAAATATACATCTTACTAACAATCTTGTGATCTAGCTGTCTGTCATTCTTTTGTTATTGTGGCAGTAGCAGGATTGCCTTTGTCTGTTTTTTCCTGTTGTTTCATCCATTACACTAGCCCTGTACTTTGTAAGTACAGCTAGTGAGAACTTCGCTTTGAGAACAAAAATGTGGCCAGTGTTACAGCTTTTAATCAGTTGACTGAATTGATGATAGTGGTGGATATTTTTATGCCGTAATGACTAGGGCATAGAAGCAATACCAAAAATCAAGCCTTGAAWAAGTGGGCCAGACAACTCTTGAAAAATTGGCAAAGCAGTTACCCGTTTGTGCTAGTTTTACCAGTAGACTAATGTATTGGTAGAACTTGTGAACCTAAGAAATAAGCTTCATGCGTGTTGCATTTGCCTAATATGTGAATACACTAATAAAAGTTTTAATTCTCATGACGGTGGTTGTTTATTATTAGCAATTACTATATTTATATGTATATGTGTGTGTGTATTTCTTATTGTAGGGTAGGAATCATTCTAACCAACCCAAGTAAGTGGCAAGTTTCCTGCATATTAGGGCTGGAAAGGTGTCATTTGGTTTAAATCACTTCTCTACAGCTGTCTTGAAGGCTCTGGATCTCTGTTTTTGTTGTGTGATACAGGCTTCTGCTCCACATCGGATTTATAAAAGTAGCTCCTTTTTCTCTACCAAACAAATGATTCCCTTACTGGCTCAGATGTTTACTTCACCTATGAAACAGTTAGATAAGAGCGACTGGCTGCGTGAAAGACTCCGTTGCATTTACGAGCAGGTTGCAGCTTGAATCACTTGGGTGACCTCATTCTCTCATCGTCTCCTTGCTGCAGGTTTCTGTGTGTTCCCTTTGAGCCGTGGCAGTATTCCTTGCTTCGCCTTGAGCGTCGCAGTAACCTTGATAGTAGTGGGTTCTCGTTGTGCACTCCCAAGTAGTTAGTGTACAAGGCCACTCCTGGCATTATCTGTGGACCTGTGGCAGCGCCTGCGTGCAAGGTCAGCTCGGTCTGTGTAGAAGTTGAGTTTTTATGGCTTTTGTTCGTATTATATAAAATATTCTTCCGTGCCATGAATGTTTCTGCAGCAGCTTTGTGGAACAAGGGAACTACTATGCACTTGAGATGTTTGCTTGTCTGTATTTCCTTTAAATGCCTTTGGCAGTCTGTGAGTAACTCTAACCTGTTCCTGTTTCCAAATCCAGTGCCTTTCTGACTTGTCCCAGTGCTGTCTGCTCTTCCTCAAAATGCRACCAGTGCCTCCTCAAGCATCTTAATGCAGATTTCTGCCTGTGGTACGTAATGAACGTGACTTCATCTTTCTTTGCTTTGCCAGTCAAAGCACCTGAGTCCAAACCGCAAGTGAGAAGTGAATTACTTTTCTCAGTTTTGTTAATACACCCTTGATCAAGGAAGGAATAATCAAGTTGGCTACTCTTCAGCCTGGCTAGTTGGATGGTTCTCTGCATCATGAAGCTTGGAAAAAATGAGTATGTAATGGCTCTCGGCATGATTTAGGGCTGGGATTCCTCGTACCTGTGCTGGTCTGTCGTGTGGCACTGGCCTCGTCTGATCTTGATTTTCACAGTTCTGCCGCAATCAGGTTATCAAAAGTCAGCTTGTGCAAGCACTGAGGGCAGAAGTGTTTTTGAGTTGCCTTGTAGCTGCTTGGATGCACTCAGATCAAGTATAGAGACCCATGCCCATCCTTCAGAATTACCCACAGTTTTGCTTAAAACTTCTCCTTCCAGTTGCATAGCTGCACTTCAAGGTCAAAAGCCTGGCATCTTGCACCTTTAAAGTGTAAGGATGGTTGGTGGATGCTCATCTCTGTAATTCCCCCTTTATTTTGTGCAGGTTGCCTGTTCACGTGCTCCTCTCTGCAGCAGGAATTCTCTGCTGGCTCTGCAGTGTCTTGCATGGAGTCTTCCAACCTGGTTTGGCTTCTAGGTGCTGTTATACAAATGTTGAATGTCGTGAAATCACTCGTGTTATCTTGTTCTCATTCAGGGCATTGTGCTTAATCAGTACTTTACCTCTTTGAGACTGATTGCAGGTAAATAGCATAGTTTAGAAGTGAGCTCTTAATGCGGTTGGTTGCTTCCCATCAGAGAGCCTAGGCYCATGGCTAAGGTGCCTAGTTTAAATGCTTTGAGTAAGTATAAATGTCTATTTTATTTAAAAAATAAAAGCCTGGGTGCCATCAAAGTAGGCTGCTTAGATGTTCAGGAGTAGTAGCTTTGGAGTAATTTACACAGTAAAAAGTAGAAATCACACCTAGCGTATTTTACTAGTTTTTTTTCTTCACTGTGCCCAACTTGACTTTTCATGTTGAAGTAGGAGGGTGTGAAGTTTGGGGGGTTGATAATCATCTGCCTCCATAGCAGCTCTGAATTCTGGCACGGTGAACTGAAAGTGTTTTGTTTAACCTTCAAACTTGTCATACTTCATTGTGGTTACAGCTTTTTTTAGCATTGCAAACTGAAGTTTTAATGCAGCTGGGTTTTGAGTTAAAATATTGTGAAATACAGGATTTCACTACACCCACACAAAGTGTTTTACTTGAAGAATGAAGCCGTCTTCCTTTTACCAAAACAAGTTTGTCTGTAACCTGATTTGGGGGGCACTCAAGGTCTTCATCATTATTCTGAAGAGCTGATGAACTTCTGTCCTTGCTAGAAGAAAYACTCCCCTCTCACGTAGCATGCCAGCTATATTTGAAAGCCCTTCTGGAGGGAAGGAGTCAAATTGTTGTTTGTCTGAAGGTTTATTACTAGTAGGAAAATACTGATGAAATGTGTCTTTTCCTGACCTCTTAAGCTTGGGTACTATCTCACCATCCCAACCTGTGCTGATCCTCTTCTCCACCTCTTTCCTGTAGGAAAGGTGGATGGTGCTGCTTCTCTTGGGAAAGCTCAGTTTGCAGAGTTAAGTTTCTAGTAATACGTTGTCGCAGGTACAAAAACTGGAACGGAGGCTTCAAAGCTGAGAACGGCCTTTGATGTTATGTTAGCTGTTGTTTCATTAACTGTAGCCAGGATTAAATCTAGTCGGCTGGCAGAAGAAAAATGGATGTCAAAGAATGGATATGCAAGAATGGATATCCATATCCATATGCATATGGATATGGATGGGAGACCTTGATGCTCTTGATCTTCTTCCCCCCTATGGAAGATCTAGTCAGAAGGGATTGTAATAAAGTCCAGTTGTTCATTCCGGTCCTTTCGGAATAGCGGCGATGGACATGACATAGAGTCTTGCCCAACCTGCACAACTCTTTTCTTTTTAATTCACAACCCTCGAAGCTTTGGAGATTCTGTTGGTGTTTCTGTATTAACAGTATCTAGCCGTGGCCTTGTCTAAAGCTTTAGTAAAATATCTCAAGGTTATGGCTTAAGAATTAATTGTATTTAAGAGCAATGTGCTCCTGATGAAGTGGTTATTAAATATRGATTTCAGCAGTTGCAGTTTATCTCTGAAGGAGGTGGATGCTCTCCCATCAGTTCTTATTTATCTTTTGAAAGGAATTGTCTAGGCAATTGGTCACCTTTAGTCGGGAATTACTGGACAGGGAGGCTGGAGGGACTAAAGCATGCAGCATTTTGCAAGGAAGCACAAGTGGAGGTGGTTCTGGTTTTAGAGCCCTATGCTGGAGCAGGGAATTCCAGTTATTTGTGATATGCTCCAAACTCTTCAGAGATGAGGCAGTGTGACTGGGAATAGAGTCCTAGTATATAGATAAGCCGAGTTTGTCAAAATTCTTGAATTTCTTTGAGATCAAACTACTGCATAGTTAAGCCAGAAGCACTYACAGTTTAATTGGTGGTGTGTGTCCTTCAGGAGTTGATCCTTGGACTTCACAGAGTGGATTTGAGATGCTCTTAAGCTATGGAGTTTGTGGGAAGGTGAATTCTATGGAAATTCCCCAGGGCAGCTGGGTGTTGGTGTTCTCCTTCCTGTGAAACCCCTGAAGGAGCCCGGGGTAAAGAAACGCCTTAGGCGACGCTGGCTGCTTGGGAGAGAAACAGGGCTGTCCTACCCAAGTGCCGAGAAGAACAAGAGGCACTTTGCCAGGAAACGGGCACAGCTCCTGAGGAGAGGCACTATTTCCTCTTGGATTTGAGCTGAGCTTGGGTTTGAGCTGCGGTAGTTGTGCTCTTTGCCTGCACGGTGCTTCGTCCTGCGTTTGGTTCCAGACCTGGCAAGGGCAGGTGAAGCTCAGGTTTGTCCCTTCTGCCAGAGCAGATAGTGGCTCTTCTCTGGGTGGGATGGATGTCCCACCAGCTGGACTCTTGTCTTAGCAGTGGGGAAGTGGCAGGGCCTGGCTTGCGAAAGGGACTAACGTGCAGCACTGAGCTCTACACTGAACACCAGACCTGCCGCCTCCTTTTGTAGATAGTCTTGGGAAGATAACACTAACTTGGAAACAATAGTTCCTTTGGAGATAAGGATGCTGTTTTTCCTTTTACAGCTTCAGGATTCTGATAGCCCARTGGGAGGAAAACCCACAGCTATTAATTAGCTGATGCTAGTACTGATGTGAGGGCAAATATCTTTATGATGTGCTCAGACTTTGAGGTTTGTGCTGCGTAAGAAGTTAAAATGGGCAAAGGGCCAAGATTGAGAAATGCTCAAGTTTCAGTGGAACAGGGCGAGTGGTGGAGCTGAAAGTAATGGGAGGGTGTGTGTGATGCCCAGCTTCAGCAGTGAAATTCCAGCATTTAAAAAAGTACCTTTAGCAGTATCTGATCTCTTTTAATGTGCATTTGCTAATTAAAGATCACCAAAAAAAATCACATCTAGCTTTTTTGTGTTGTACTGAAAGAGGAGTTGGAGTAAAGGAGCAGGGTTAATGSATTTGAGGAAATGGGAGCACGAGTCTAGTTTTGCATTTCTCTTAATCCTGAAGCTAAGGCTCAGTATAGCCCCTTTAGAAGCAACAGAAGCTGAAGACWGAAGATCTGACACGACTTGTGCTCTATGTGTCCAGGCTGTTATGTGAGAACAGGGAACGAAAGCCCAAAAGGACCTTAGGAGTGTTCAAGTGCTCATCAGCAAATAGGACATCTCAGCCTGCAAAGACASTGTTTTGGGGGCACTTGGCAGAAGGGTCTGGTTTGCTGAATCTTCTGCATCCTGATTTCATGCTAAAAATTGTTTAAATCCAAAATTATTTGATTGTTTCATGACAAACAGCAGTCGTTAAATGTGTAGAAAGCACTACATGGATCTAGAGGTCCCTAAGTAGAATATTAGATCAGCGTATTCTTTAATGAGAGTACTGGGTTGAAACTTGCCTGCTTTTGTGGTCCAAAGCCTAGTTTAACTTGCTTGAACTTAGTTAAACTTGAAGACGCTTAGTTTTAAGTGTTAAGTGTAGAATGACTGGCTAA